CCCTGACTTCACCGGTACGGACCCCGGTTTGAGGTGCACCTTCAAAGGCTCCACTCGGACTGGAGGATCTCGCCCAAACCTCAGGCGGAAAACATCTTGAAACTCCAGCAGGAGGTCTTGGAGGGCTTCAACGGCAGGTTCTTCCATGCCGTCAGCTGCTGCCTCGGCCACCTTGGCCATCAAGACGGTACGAACTGCCTCGGCGTCAGCTAGACTAGGTATCATACCCAATTCTGCCGTCGCGCAGCACATGCCTTCGTCGTCGTCAATACCGTCGGACAGCTCCTCCATGCGGAGTGTCCGATGCATCGCTATGCCAGGCGTCGTGTCCGGCTGATCGGCGAAGTCCCATACCGCCTGCTGCCGACGCGCGTTCTCGAGTAGTGTCTGCTCACTATACCCGAGCTTCTGCATCACCGGCAACCCAAGCGTCAGTTCCACGGAAGCCTCGGCTTCGTCGATCCAAACGCGAAGGCTGCGTAACGTTAGCGGTCCACACCCCGTGTTGGACTCCAGGCGTCCAAGGCGAACTTGCTTCGTCACAGTGATCGGTCGACTATCCGTGCCATAAGGCCGGAGGGTCGTGGGCCCCATCACGATAATTTCGGGAGATGCACCCGCCGCCAACAATGCTGAGACTAGACCGCCTGAAGCAACCGACAGGTCAGCGACCGAGTCCAGTTGCGAGGCTCGGACCGGTACGACACCATCCACCGTGGCCGTCAGGTCTTCGCGGCCCACCTTAACGGCGTTCGTTCGCATTGTCGCTACACGACCACCAGGTGTTCCTAGTCCTCGGCCGGTGTCAGCCCGACCGTCACCACGGCTCCAGTCACCACGTTTTTGGCCAAGCGCCCGACGATGTGCTTTAAGCAGTCGTGATTGTCCGTGATTCCAGGATACTCACGGACCTTGTGAGTGGTGGATTTACATTTCAAGCAGCCGTTGCCAGGCGTCGAACTAGTCGGCGCCTGAGGCGTATATGGTGCTGAGGCCGCTCTCCGTGGCGCCTGCACTGAAGCTGGCGTAAATGTTAGGCCGCTTCCTTGCGGCATCCTCGGCGGGTCAGGTTTCCTGACCGGCTTCGCTTCTTCTTCATAGCCGACAAAACGCTCGTGGCCGATGGCAAATTCACGCAATCAACGCACGAAACGGTACACGTCCTTCTTCAGGGGCTTGTTTCGCGCCATCTGCTCCGTCACTGCCCGATGGAGTGACACTGGCTTGACCGCCTCCGTAATGATCTTTACGATGTCAGCACTTTCTTCTCGAATAATCCACTCCTGGCGGTCTCGGTGTGAAGCGGCCGCCATGCCGTCAAACATTCGCCCGATCTGAGAATCTGCGTCCGGGATCGACATGTCAAAAACCACGGAGGCCTTGACTCGCTTCTTCAGGGAATCCTGTGTCCTAGGGTCAACTTGAAATCCCAGCGTAAACCATACCGCCCATGCGGCATCAGTTACCTCTTCCGGGAACTTCCCCATGTCCCACTCAGCCACGCGTTGTTAGTCACCGGCTAAATGCACGCACTCAACGGCATCCGAAATAGTCGAACGCCGTTCGCCGTAAGGGCATTCGTATGGCTGATGTACTGGTTGTACGACGCCATGAATGCTCGCCGTTCTGCCTTCGTAGAACCCATGAACATCGGGTTCTTTGGGAAGGCCGGTGCGTTGTGAATGTATACATCGCCTTGACCCATGTCCCAGTCTTCTGTTACAGGGGCAGTAACACCGGGAACCGCCCCAGATGGCCCGCCAAATGCAGGAGGTGTAAAACTCGATGGTCCACCAAACGGCCACGCCTCGTCGACCTCCACCGGCTGGTGTCGGCCCTGTCGTGACCGGAACAGCCGATGTACAGTCGTCTTGCTCCGTGGTCATCCACCTTCACCCGGTCGGCCAGGAAATTTCTCGCCGGCTACCGGACTGTATGAACGACCCGACCTTAATCGATCGCCATCCGAGTCCACACGGTCGCCGCCAGGGAGGCTCCGCCTCCACTGCATGTACGCTTCCGCTCGTGGATTGTTCCATGCTCCAAATCGCTAGCTTGTCAAAGACAGCTAAAGAATTCTTTGTTGTCTGTGTCGGCTTGCAGAACCAGCTACCGTGCTCTCGAAGGTAGACTTCGATGACAAATCCAAAAGTGTCTTCATTATCATGTAGTTTATGTGCCCATCAACCAGCGAACCACATCGCTGTAATCCAGGCATCACACACACACACTTGCACGGGAACGTTGTGAATAGTTTTATAGACGTAATCGTTCTTACAACCACCTAGGTGCGACTAATTCGCACTTAAGAACTGGGGTACTAAGTATACGCTAGAATTATTTAAAATAAATAATGCACCGTTCATCAACAACAACAATCGTCCTTTAGGGACTTAAAATGACCCTAGGGGAGTTAATCGCAAGGCATTCACACGGTTTCTTTCAGTTTGGACTTATATCAATGCAACGATAACTCGTTAGAAGAGTTATTTCAGCGAGTTATGTACCTAAGGCTACGCACAGGTGTCCTCGTAGTGATTGGAATCTTCAGTTCTAGAAAGTCATATCGAGATTTCTATAAAGAAAGTTGGCTGTCGCGGGACTCGAACCCTCAACCTCGTGATAATTAGCTGGATGCTTTATTAATACCATTTAGCTGCAGAAGCTAGGTGATTTGAAAGCACATCTATTACAGTAGTAGTGAAGAGTATACAGTGCTGCTCAAAACTATAGACGCATCCTATTTTTCATTGATTTCTCATCTCGTACTTTAGTGAACAATTTGGCGTTTTGCTGAAGAAATCTTGAAAGAATAATAAATAAAGTCAACGACGGATTTTAAGCCACACTTTGAATCGAAGTAAATTCTAAATTTTCAACTCTGATTGGCCTATACACTTCGAAATTCGATTTCAATAACAAATCAAACCAACTGATTTGTAATAGCTGAACCTGATTGGCCACAATACATGGATACACATATAAACTTCGGTGTGGCTTAGAATCTATCGTTGACTGTATATCCCAGTATTCATTCATTCAATCAAATATTGAATTATTTGAAAGTCGACAAATGTTCAGTTTATATACTGTACTGGTCTTACATAATATCGCATTCACAGTCAGTACTACAGTAATACTCTGTACTACCGGTAGTACTAGTAGCAAAACATCCAGCTAATAATCATGAGGTTGAGGGTTCCAGTCCCGCGACAGCCAACTTTCTTTATAAAACTCTCGATATGGCTTTTCTAGAACTGAAGATTCCAATCACTACGTGGACACCCATGTGTAGCCTTAGGTACAAAACTCGCTGAAAT